AAGAAAATGGAAACTACTATATAGTGTTTAGGGGTTTCAGGGTTTTGGGGGTTTAGGGGTTTAGGGTTTGGGGGTTTGGGGGTTTAGGGGTTTAGGGGTTTAGGGGTTAGGGTTTAGGGGTTTAGGGTAGGAAGATTAAAGGCTAAATAGGGTTACATTATAGGGATTGTAGAAGGTTCAGGGTTATTATCGTCAATCATGGGAGAAAACGGGCAAAAAACGGAAAATGAAATGGAGACCGAGATTCCATAGAGGACTATGGGGGTTAGGCCTAAAGCCCCAACCCCTCGACCCTACGTAAATCCTAAGCCCTAAACATTAAAAGCTGGGTGTACCTGCTAGCGTGCGGGATGCGTCGTTTTAAAGCTTCCTCTGCCTCTCCTGTCGTGGTAGATCCTCAAAAATATTGCGTCGCAGGTTTACAGCGTTAGCGCTTCCAGGCTTGTAGTGTGTAGGAGTTGGGATTGGCGTTTCGGGGGTTGGGTTTCTATCCGACACGGGCCTAGGGTCTAAGGTTTACGGTTCATGGTGGGGGTAAGGTTTAGGGCTCCAGGGTACAATGTTAAGGATTTGGCAATTCGAAATCAATGTTTAGGGTTTGCCGCTTGTGGCGTCCAGGCTTTTTGGTGGCTGAAGTTTAAAGTTCAAGCCGTCAGCTCAGGGACCTGAACCTTAAGGTTTAGGGTTTTGGGTAAGCCCTCAGCCCCACGTAAGCCCTAAGCTAAACCCTAAACTCACAGGGCTTCATACTCCACAGGGCTCTTGAGTGCAACATCTTCTTTCAAGAAATTGACCCTTAATTCTTTCACCCATAGCTTTTACAGAAAGAATACAACCTTGCTTGATTTACCAGTAAACCTAAGCCGACCTTCAACCCTGAAGCTCTGAACCCCCAAGCCCTATAGACGCTACCATGAAGAACCCTTAGCCCTAAATCCTGAAGCTCTTGTACCCTAAGCCCAAAACCCAAAACGCAAAACCCAGAACCCAGAGCCCTAAACCCTCAAGGTAGACTCGAAGAATGCGGACGGCGAGACACCGCTGATTTGTGCAGCGGCTCCTGGGCGATCCATTCGCTGTTTAAGGGTTTGGCGTTTACCTGGACCCCAAAAGTATGTAAAATGATAGCCCTAAACCCAAATAACAGCCATAAAGGCCATTATTTTACATACTTTTGGGGTCCAGGTAGGGCTTAGGGTTTAGGATTTAGGGTTTAGGGCTTAGTAACGGGCCTAGGGATTTAGGGTTTAGGGTTTAAGTCCATATTTTGGGTGCCGTTAAGAAATCTAAACAAGTTTTCATTCTGGAAAGTCATGGAAAATTGACAATGGAATAGGAGCTGGACGGAGTTCCGGGGTTATCTCGGGATGGGAAATGTGAATCTTACATTATGTTCACAGAATATGCGGTGGTTTCCCTGTAGTGACAGTAGAACCCTAAGCCCTATTCCCTGGGCCGTGGGCTCCACACTCTAAACCGTAAACTCTCAACCGGACATCCTAAATCCCTTCTTCAAAGCAACGCGGGATGTCGCAGCATCAGCAAGCACGAAATGAAACTATGGGTCTTCCAAAATATCAAAAGAGGAGACTCTTGTGCGCGCTTTTCGGGTTTAGGGTCTTCGGTTTCAGGGTTTTTGGTCTATGGGTTTAGGATTGAGGGAACTGCCATAACGTTAACAATGTTTCAATCCCTTCATAGCCCGGAAGAAAACCAGAAAGATTGGGGCAACTCTTTCTACACAAAGTCGAGAATGATGTAAGGACTTTCAGCTTTTCCAAGCCCAAAACGCCCGAGCCCTACAGGTCCTAGACCATAGTCCCCCTTAAGTAGATAGAATATGGGGTATATGGGGATCTTATTATAATATACCCAAAGCCATATTCTATCTACTTAAGGGGGACTATGACCTGCACCTAGGAAAGGGGCCACATTGAGGTTGTGCGCTTCTTGTTGGATGCTGGCGCGAAGACAGACTTGTATGACAATCACCACCTGACCGCATTAATTCACGCCTCTGGCAGGGGCTACAGACAAGTGGTGCAGGAGCTGCTGGAGAGGCGCGCCTCTATAAACCAAAGGGGCAGCCACTTTAGAACAGCGCTTCTTTCTGCGTCTAGCCGCGGCCACACGGAAACTGTCCGTCTGCTGCTGGCGGCGCAGGCCGATACAAGCATCCGTGACAGTATAGGCAACACCATTCTTTTCCACGCGTCCAGCAGTGGCCACCACGATGTGGTGCGGCTGCTTGTACATGCAGGCGAAGAGCTAGATGTGACAGGTGAACATAACTTGTCGCCTCTGAATGAGGCTTCTAGACAGGGACACTTGCAAGTTGTCCGCGTACTTCTGGAAGGTGGTGCTGACAAGAATTCCTTCAACATGCATGGCAACACGGCCCTCATTCATGCCTCCATTCATGGCCGTGTTGGAATGGTGCGCTTGCTGCTGGAAGCATCTGCTGACAAGGATCTGGCTGGGCATGGCAGCGACACAGCGCTCGTTCGCGCATCACGCAATGGGCACGCTGATGTTGTCCGCTTGTTACTGGAAGCTCGTGCCGACAAGGACCTGCCGGCATAGATTTATCGTGTTGCTGTTAAGGGACTTAAATCAAATTACTATCTCAGGAAACCCTATTATTTACATATACCCACACTATGGCTATGGTTATTGAACAAATTAAGCTCCTTAACAACAGCAACCCAGTACAGGTCGAGTGTTTCGAAGCATGGCTTCCCTTTGATCTTTCGCAGTACGACCAGGGAGCATGGGCTTCCCTGCAGGGATTGTATATGTACCGTAGTCCAAACTTTATTAAAGGGGTATCATATAGGGGATTTTATAGGGGACCACTATGGGCTTTTATTAAGGGGGATAGTAGGAGTTCAGACTATGACTCATATACGGATCATTCTGAGAACCTCCCATGTTGGCCAGAAGTGGAAGAACCGGCGGCCTCAAGGTCTTCCTCCTAAAGCACTACGTCACTTTTGATTGTAGGTTTGCAAGTATCAGATTCCTAAACCCTAAACCCTAATCCCGAAACCCTGGCTAAATTCTTTAGTCCAAAGCTGCTAAGCCTTGAACCCCAAACCCCAAACCTGAATCCAAACCTTGAGACTTATGTTCCCCCTTAAGTAGATAGAATATGGGGTATATGGGGATCTCATTATAACATACCCAAAGCCATATTCTATTTACTTAAGGGTGACTACAAGCCCTAAACCCCAAACCCCCGAGAGTACAGAGTCGACTTGCCTACTCCACTGCCTCGCCTTCTGAACCCCCCAAAACTCGCGCAGCTAAGGTCTAGGGTGTAGGGTTTAGGGTGGTTTCGGAAGCTTCAGATCATGTACCATTTCAAGGAAGCGGTATTCAGTCCTTCATGACCTTGTCATGGCAACTCATTTTAAGTTGCTTCATAGCACCCCAGACAGGTGTAAATGGTGATTTCCCGAAATGAGGGGACCCCAATGTAGACCCCAAATGTTATAATCCTGGTTACCCACCAAAATTTGCCACTAATTTTGGGGAAGCCCCCATAGAATAACTTTCTAGACACATAAACTAAACCTTACCTTGAGCATTGAACCCTGAACCGCAGTTTTCAAGTCTTTGCAGCCTTAAGTGAATAGATTTTTCGGGGGGCGGGGGATACTAGGGTACCCACTATAGAGTAGCAAGATCATCCTCCTTTGGGTCTAGTCTTTTAAATAAAGACTATAATCTTACTTGATTCAGCGACCCAAAAATGCTACTGAAGTGAGCCCCAGGCTCTGAAGATTTCAGTCTCGACGCTTTCCAAGAGCTGGAGTCTACAACTTTTGTGTTCTGGTCAGAACTGACATGAACCCTATCCTAAACTCAAGGGGGGATCATAGGGGATTGTATAAGGTACTACTAAAGGCCATATTAGGGGTTTAGACTATAGCTCACATGAAGAAGTATTCCGTATCTTGTTTCTATGATGAGTTCAAGAGGGATCATAGAGAGGACTTGATTGGCAACAGTGGTACCTCAGCACTTCGAATCGCCACCGAGCAGGGGCACATGGACATCGCGCGATTGCTGCTAGCACCTATCGGTGCTGGAGAAGTGAAGCTGGATAACTTACACCCGAAACCCTAAACCAGGCCTCCATCCCTGAATCCTAACTCCAAAACCCTAAACCAGACCCTTCAGGGTTTAGGGTTTAGGGCTTAGGGCCTTGTCCCCAAATCCTAACTATCCCTCCTGCAGCCTACAGCCCCGATGTCTGCCGGGGACTGGAACACAAATGTGAAGAGTGTTTGACTACAGCCACAGCTCATTTGGGCGGCAAAATCATAGTACCCTAAACCTTAAACCCTAAGCTCCTGAAAAGGCCCGATGAAGCACGCTAAACCTCTAAATCTTAAACCCTAAGCCTTAAACCTCACAAAAGGCCCGATAGCACACATCTATCTGCTGCTTTCTGGAATTGCCAACTGTCCCAGGGTATGCTTCAAAGATTGGCAGCCCTGGGGGTTCACCAACGCCCATGTTGCAGAACAGAGGGTACCGATGCACAAAGGAAGTCTCGCTCATCGCGCTATGTGCGCTATAGTCTAATCTCCTTAAAGGGGGTACTATAGGGGGGCATACACAGGAGCATTATAGGGGTTACTAAGGGGGATGCTGGGAGAGACTATGGCTCATGTGGGAGGCTCCAATAAATGTGCGGGCCTTTTCATGTTTAGGTCCTAGTGCTGCAGTGATGAAGGTTCCTAGTCCTTGTCAATTTTCTAGGGGACGTAAATTAAGTTACCATAATAGGGGTATATAGTAAATAACAGGGTTTCCTTCTTATAGTAACTTAATTCAATTTCCTTAGCAGCAGCCCGTTTTTTTTACTGCCACTTCTGTACATATCCATACATGATGCGTCGACTTTCCGGCCCTTCCACACTAAATTTGTGCTTTCTCCGAAAACCCCCCTACACTACAGCCCATAATGTTTCACCTGAACTTGCCCTATAGCTAAAAACCCTAAACCTCAAACCTTAAGGCTTTAACACCTTAAACACTAAAACCTAAAACCCTCAGCCTTCCTTAACTTATATGACCCTAGACCCCTACTCAGGGTGGGAACCGTGAAGGGGGCGGTGGCCAGGAACCCAAAAACACAAATTCCTTCCAAATTGCAGATCGAGCTCAGGTAGCGTTTACAAGAGCCATGGTTGCCAGCTGTTCAGGGTGTAGGGTTTTAAGGGTCCAGGGTTTTAGGCTTTAGTGTTTTAGGTTTAGGGTTAAGGGTTTAGAAGGAATGGAAAAGAAAATGGAAACTACTACAATGGATTATATCGGGACTACTATAAGGATCCATGCCTTCATTCCTTGGCCCTAAGCCCTAAATGCCTAAAACCCTAAACCCCTAAACCCTGAATCCCAAAACCCTAAGCCGTAAACCCTAAAACCCTAATCCCTAAATCCCTAAACCCCTAAATCCCTAAACCCTAAACCCTGATAAGCTGCTGAGGGCCTAAGCCCAATGATCCATGCCTTCATTCCTAGCAAAGCAAAGGCAAGCAAGGATGGTTCAGAAGCGGCTGAGGACTTAGGGTTTAGTGTGCAGGGTTTAGGGATTTACGGTTTAGGGTGTAGGGTTTGGGGATTCATTTACAAGCGAGAGCTTGAGTAGCAGCTTCCCCAAATCTAGCACAGAATTCCTTGTAACTCCGTTAAATTTCAACAGGAAGTCGTTGCAGGATTTTTTGGGGGGATTCATCTACTTTGTGGCGACGTCTATTCATATTTGTCTTTAGTTCAAGCCAAGGCATTATCACAAAAATGATCTTTAACCGAACCCTCTAACTTCAGAGTCCCAACCGCTACAGCCCTCAGCCCCATGCAGCTTGCACCCTCTACAAACCACTCCACGCAATGGTGCTCAAGTACAAGTAGAGGAGTAGATCCTTTGCATCGTTCTCCACTTGTCCTATGGTGGTGGCTAGATTCACTGCCCTGCTTGGCCTAAAAACCATAAGTAGGGGTTTAGGGTTTTAAGGTTTAGGGGTTTAGGGGGGTAAGCTTCAGGGGTTGAAGGTTTAGGGGTCTAGGGTTCAGGGGTTTAAGGTTTAGGGGTTTTGCGGCCCCGTGGAAGGTGAATCGCCATTTCTCGGCGTTCGGCCGGCTTGCTTCTGTACCCTGTTTCTGGCAAAGGGTGTATAAGGTTTTTGTCGCGTTGGCACAAGACCTAAACCTTAAACCCTTAAGGGCAAAGCAGTTCGGGATGATCCAGGGTTTGGTAGGGATGGATTGTGTAGTGAAGGGCCCAGAGGCGAGATACGAGCTAGTGTTGATATTCCGCTTATTAACGGATCCTTAACGTATGATATCCCCAACCATGACCCGTTTCTAGGGTCTAGCGTTTCGGGTTTATGGTGCTGAGCTGGGATTTGGATAGACCTTTTGGGGGAATCCGTCAGTTCTTGGGGCTGCCTTCAGGACGCTGTTGTTAGGCTTGTGCTTAGGGGTTTTAAGCCCCTGCTCAAAACTATGGCATCTGTACCTGGGACGTCGGGGATTTACTAAGCCACCCACTTGAGAAGAGGCTTTAAGTTCAGGGCATAGGGTTCAAGGTATAGGGTTCAGGATTAGGGTTTGGAGTTTAAGGGTCTGAGGTATGGCCCCATAATGGCCTGCTACCCTCAAAACCCCGTGAACACTAAATACCCAAATTCCCCCTCTGAAGTTCACATTCACAACAGCTCTAATGCCTTCAAACCCTAAAACTGACACTTACGACTTCCAAACTTCAACTTACGTCTTCCACAACAACGAAGCCATAAGCCTCGCCGACCAGTAAACAGCCTTGAACACGATTGGTAACGTAGAACACCATTGGGCGCCAACAGGTTCATATCGGGAGAGACCCAGGTACTGGACAATGCAAGGATTCAAGACCCCAATCCGCGCACCCTAAATCTGTAAGCCCCAAACCGTAAGCCAATGCACCGTAAGCCCAAGCACCGTAAAACCCTACACCCTAAATCTGCGCACCCCTAAACCCTCAACCCTAAACCCTAAGCCCTCAACCATAAACCCCTAAAGAACCCTCAGACACACCCCAAGCCTTGGCGTTCTGTACATGTAGAAATGCCAGGAGCCGGGAGGCTGAGGCAGAAGGTCGCCGGGTTCTTGGCGATGGTTCAGGGGTTTAGGGTTCTAGGGTTTAGGATTTAGGGTTTAGGGTTCAGGTTCAGGATTTAGGGTTTAGGATTTAGGATGTAGGGTTTAGGGTTGAGGTCAAGGTCCTTCAGATTAGGGGTGAGGAGTTAGGTTCTAGGGCTTAGGCTTTACCTCATGATCCTCGCAGAAACCATTGAGGTGTCAGGATTGAGGGTTTAGGGTTGAGGGTTTATCTCAAGGTCCTGCATACGGAAAACATGGTGGAGCAACACGCTTTCCCAAAATGGCCACTTGGAGAACAG